TGCGCGGCCCCGGCCCCTCCCCCTTCTTTCCAGCCGGCCCTGAAGCGTTCTCTCCATTCCTTCCAATGCTAGCCCCCCCGGTATCCCCCTCCCTAACCCTTAGAGAGGACTATACAGTCCCCCCTAAGGGCAGGAAGAGAGATACCAAGGGGGCTAGCATTCTATGGAATGCAGAGCCCGCCTCAGGACCTCGCTGTCCCTCTCCCTGCTTACCATTGAGCCCTACAAGCAAACGGAATCTCAAGGCTTTGAACTGCCGGTGATAAACAGCCCAGTAATGGGTTAGTATACATGTTCATTAGTAGGCCTACTACTAGCATGTTATAACAACCCATCCTTAGTGCGCGTTCAACTCAATTCAACTCGTTAGTTGAATGGCACACCCACCGAAACCGTTGACTCCAAGGAGAGAGCCAAGGTTCTTTTCTTATAAAGGGTATATCCCACCCTAGGACCGAGATTTGCCCCAAAATGCATGAGGCGTGCATGCACCTGTCCACTAAAACGCGACTGCATTTTAACTTGGAAAAAAAAAGGTGCAAGACCAAAGGTTTTTCCAAACAAGGAAATAATATTCGACCTAAGCGAAAGGCTAACAAACCTAAGCGCAAACCTAAGGAACCGGCCCAAGTAACCTAAGGTAAGGTAAGGAACTAACTAACGATTTCGTCCAGTTCAATTCCTAAGTAAAGCTAAGGCGAGTCAACTAACAAACCTAAGCGCAAGCGTAACCAATGCTTAACGAACCTAAGGTTTGCGTACTAAGCTAACCTAAGGAAAGTAAGGTAAGGGACCTAACGATTCCTAAGTAAACCTTCCTAAGCAAAGGTAAGGCCAGTCACTAACAATCCTAAGCAAAACCACAGCACCCAGGATTCCCGCGTGGTCCCCCACCGTGGTACTAACTGGGCGGCACTCCGGTTAACTGCGCAGATCGGACGGGATGCGGTGCTTTCGAAGTCCTATGGCCGTGGATAACAAGTATGCATGTTATTGCGTTTTGTTACCGACCTGCATAACAGGTCAAGTCAATGAAAACTCGACCTACCGCTGCCAAAATCGTTGCACGCCGCTCTTAACGAAGGGTTTACTTAGCAAACCCTTCATTTCGAAGCCAGTTGCCGTTCAAAATTTGAACCTAACCCTTTGAAAGCCAAGTAAACACTTAGCGCAGTTAAAAAGGTAACCTTAGCTTCGTTCGCTTGGCTCCTAAGGGCATTTCAACATGGCATGCTTAAGGGCAGGCACTCAAGCTCATTAACGGTCCATTAGTACAATCACTAACTTGCGCTTTCAAGCTTTCTGCCTATACCATCTGTAGTCTCTGAATGACTCATGACATAGTCATCACAATTGATGGTGATGAAAACAATGTCCTTAATAACAATCCACTACAATAAGGATGGTCCCATCCTCACCCCAACCCACCCAGCACACCCCACATTGATATTGGGTCCAATTGCTCATGTACAACAAATTACAACACATGAGTGAACATGAACATGGCAGAAGATCAAATATTGTGTCCCATCTGCAAGCAGTGGGAGGGGCTATGGACCGAATACCAATGATGATGATGATGATCAACCGGACGATGGTGGCAGCAGTAGTGGAAGAGGCAAGGAGGGTTCAAGAACTGGGAGAGGAGTATAGTGAAGGGCAGAGAAGGGCAGTGAGACAGAGAGAAGAAGGTTGGCAGACACAATGAAGAAGGGGATACAGGTGAGAGGGTGGGATAGAGATCTGGGTGCCGATGTCCAATGATGGGAACAACAGCAGCACCACTTCAGTGATCAAGTACACTCTCAAGGATGCATCTGACAATACTGAGATGCTGGTGATATGTGCACCAATGCCTCCACCGCTGCCACCCCCGCTGAATCCAACATCTAACCTTACCATCCTTAGCCTTGTCTGCTGGATTTCTGCTTGAATAGTGTCAGTTAACAGATAGTGAATATATATCTGGAGCATCAGTTGAGAAATATTCAATATAGGCTAATTTCACAGTATTATAGAGAGTATTGGTCAGCAATCTAGCTCAGCTTAGTCATCACTCTGAACTAACTCAATGATGACATCATTAGAAATTTAGGCTGACTTGAGAATCAAACTCAAGATCTCCAAAATATAATCTATAACATCACATGACTTTTCTGAGCAAACATGCTAACCACTGTACCATATTGATATTATATATTTATGTTTTCATCATTATATATACACTTTCTCCCTTAATATTTATGACCTCATATTGATGCCCTCCCTTTGCTCCGCTCTAGTGCGCTTTTTTGCCTTTTTGGGCTCTCCAAATCAGCCCATCAAAATTGCCTGGATCCAGTGGCAGTGCCACATTTCTAATACCCATAATAGAGGCTATTTTCCGGTCAAAATAGCCATTGGGCTACTCTCAGGCTACTGGGTCAGCCAGGGGATAGTACTATAATCTGTATAGACATAAACAACATAAAATAAAGCCCTCTAATGATACATGGGAGCCTTGGATACTGGCCTAAAAGGGTAATATAATGAAAATTACATAAATATTCCCTTTTGGGGGCTGCTGCATGCATTGGATCAGCTGTAAGATTTCACCAATTGATTCCCTGATCTTTAAAACACCAAAGTGACCTCTCCCCAGTACTTTTGGCACACTTTATTCCTGGAGATAAAAGAAAATATTCGCTTTTTAGGGTGCAGCATGCTTCAGATCACTTTGAAAACATTACCAATCGATTCCTACACTATGAAAACTCTAGAATAAACCCTCATTTGTAATATAGGACCAGTATAATACAATATAAAAGAGGGTATTAGGGGGCATACATCGCTTATTTTGTTTTTCACACTTTGGATGGCCTGGGGAAGATTACCAATGGATTCCCTGATATTAAAAACCCCCAAACGACTCCAGCATCCATTTATAGGGTGTCAGAAACGAGAGAAATGATGATATTACAGTTTAGGGGGGAGCACATATAATAAATCCTGTTTCTGGGCTTCAGACCACTTCGGAGTTTTATCCATTATGTTTCTTGACCCAAAAAACACTCAGAAGATGCCATGAGATAGATAAAACCATCAGAAATACCTGGTAAAAAGAGTAATAGGGGATGGAGGAGACATACCTTATATTTCGAATTTCTAATAGTTAGTGAGGGTATTCCTGCTACACAACAGACCATATACACTATATAATGATGTGTACAAAGACACATAGCCATCCTAAATGTATTGAAAGAGATATGAGCAGATCATTCTGTAAAACAGGAGTAGCACATCCCATATTTCGATGTTCTGCTTATCCTATGGCCTGGGGACTATCAGAATCGGATTCCTTGACCCAAAAAACAGTAGGGGCATCTATCATCCCTGGTGTTCAGATGTCTAAACTCTGAGGTACAAGATGTTCTCTCATTTATCACTTATATTGTCCTGTAGCTACATATGGCTGTATGTGTTATCTGGGTAAAATGGCCCCCAGGGATGATAGTGTAATATAAGTAGCAGCCATTGGTGCCATCTGTAACCCATACGGATTACACATTATGTACTGCTATTTACCTAGACCATTAGATACTTCCATGGATCTCAAACAGATCGAGATCACTTACCTTCTTGACTAGTTACATTCTTGTTCATACCACAACAAAGTTGATTCCTATTCTGTTGCATGTGTTCAGTGTTCCCAGCTACGGCCTGGGTTCCACTTTTTTTTGAATACTGTTCAACTCTGTACTTTCTGTCCTGACGACTGCTATTTCTGTGTTGAACATGGAAAGGCATGCCGAACACCAATGAAGAACTTCTATCCCCAACGAACAGTGATACCCATTTGACACCATCCCCAGAACTTGATACTAGCTTGTGATATGTCCCTCCTGACCTGCCAACAGTTTTTCTATAAAGGCGGACACCCCATTTCACAAGACCCCACTTCCCTTGACCATCAACCACCACCTACATGCACACTGGCACCGATTCTCAGAGCCCTGCCCCACTGTGCTATCCAACCTGACTCTGAGGAGATTCCTGTTTCCCCAGGGAGTTCACTACCATCATTGATGCCTTCAACAAATGACATTGACGACAGAGACCAGATGCCAGAAGGCACTGCTCTGCCTGTACCACACATCAATCTCGCAGCACGTGAAAGAGAGAGATGCCTAGCTGCATCGGCACAATCACCAAACCAGTCACCGACCCAGATCAGTATGCATATAGCCACCTCAGCAGACCTGCCCAGTGAAGAAATCAACAAGGACGACTTTGAGGACCTCTCTGATCTTATCCCCATCACAGATGATGAGGATGACTCCTTCTCAGACAACGAGATCTCTTCAGACAATGACGATGACCAAGGTGGTTGTTCACCCTTGTCCTCAGACACCGATAACGACCCTGCACCTCCTGCTGCACCAGCCATTCCTTCAAATGCAGATTCTGCTGATTCTGACTCTGACTCTGATTACTCTTTTGTCAAACATTCTTGCCCCTGTCCCCATCCCCTAGCTTCTACCATGTCTGCGGCTGCTACAGTAGAGCAAAACTCATGCACTGAGGCTCCAATTCTACATCCCAGTGTGTACACTATCAATATTCTCAATGACTTTGCAAAAGCCTTTGAGTCCTTCTTCTTATACAAAAAGGTCAAGGCTGAGGACCGCGTACATATGGCCATTCCTGTGTTATGTGAACCAGCAATGAAATCCTAGATTCGACTCGAATCTGCTCGGGATGAGGCTCCGCTCATTGATTGGACATGGGAGTTTTTCCTGGCTCAGTTAAAGGAGAAATGGCTGCTGGATAATTGGTTCGTGCAGGTGAAGAAGACCCGGAATGCCAGTCAGGGAAAGCGACCCTGGTTCGAGTTCCAGCTAACGGTCCACAGTGCTAATGAGAATTTGGTGGGCCTGGTAAGTTACCTTGACACAGATGACATGCGTCTGCATCTTGAGGAGCACATGAATGATGATCTGGCTGAAGTGTATCTCAAGGCGAACCATAAAGAGGAGCTTGCCAATCTCAAGGATATTGATAAGTGGATCGAGGAGGTTTGCTTGCTTGATGAGGATATTCGCATGGGAAACACTTGTTCAAGGCGCTATTGGCAGAGAACATGACACAGACTTTGGGCAATGCAATGTCAGCGAATAAGGCAGCCAGGACGACTCATGCACAGACCACAGCTTCATCCAACCCTGACTCATCCACCACTACATCTGACACCAAACCCTTATCCAATCCAAAGGGATGCCCTCCACACCTGACTGATGTAGAGAAGGAGCTGCTGATGAAGCACCTTGGCTGTTTCGTATGTCATCAGTTTTACACTGACCACATTGGCTCCAGTTGCAAAACCGGTAATCCTGACCCTACCACCTACAAGACACTCACTGAGGCCGATGCACTTGCTGCAAAAGCCATGTATGAAGCACAGAAAAAGACCTTCATAGCCGGTATTCGTGCTTGTCAGGGAGAGTCTTCCACTCTTTCTGATGATGAGAATATGATTGGGGATTCTTCGGATGCCTCTGCCGGCAATGAGTACGTTGATCCCTCTCTTGAACCCTTTCTTATGACGCCCCATCTGTGGATGGAAGGCGAAATTTCCTCCCCTGCCTTATCTTCTGCAGTACCTGTGTGGGCACTTATTGACCATGGTTCCCCCACAGTTTTGATTAGTGCTGAGTTTGCCATCCAACTAGCTTTGAAACAATGCAAATTGACAAGACCAATTCCTTTCTCTTCAATACTGGATTCCTCCACCGCTCAGACTCTTGATAAATGTGTATGCTTCAGGATTAGCAAGAACTCTTGGACTTCCCATAGAATATTTGCCATGATTTGTCCTACTCTCCACTGCGACCTCATCTTAGGCACACCCTTTCTGTACCATAATAATGTAATCATTGACCATGGAAGCCATTCTGCATTCGCTGCTGGGTCTGACATCAACCTCTTGGATTCAAGACGCCCTTTGAAGACATCAATGGTCCCCTCCATGTCCCCACAAGAAGCTCGCTTAACAGCCATGGAGGAACATAAACATGCAAATAAGGAGATCCTGGCCATCAGGAAGGCTCTCCGAGTTACACATGCACCTTTGCTCCATGAGCTGGAATCGTTGTTTGTCTCCTCAGGCTTGCATGAAAGGATGCATCCCTTTACATTGGAATGTGACCTACCTTGCAGGTGTTAGCCACTAACTTTATCGACTTAGATCATGCCAGGATCCCTACTCGCACTTCGGTAGGAGACGCTCTAGCAAGTCAAAGGCGATGAAAGTCGATGGGACAAGTAGTCACGAAGAACAGAGTTCGATGTTAGGTAGATTAAACCTTAGCCGAAGCTGGGGTTTGACCAGCTGAGGCTCTACTTAAATACACGTTGGTATGCTAAAAATAGTACTGTGGGAAACAGTCCGTGGTGATCGCTTGTGTGTAATCCGGCTGAGTCAAACGAAGAAAAGAAAAAGAAATGAATAAACCGTAACATTACCCCCTCCTTAAGACTCATTCGTCCCGAATGAGAATATATCTCCTGCCTTCCACATGAGCGAGCGAAAGGGTCTCCCTTCTGCTTTAAAACAGTTTAGCATCGGGTCTGCTGGGCCTCGAGTACTGCCGTCGGCCTCATCCCTAGCTGCACCTGGATCCTGCTACCCATGGATATGCAGGACCACCTTGTGCCGGTATGGCCTCTCGCTGTCTGTCGGGACTCCCTGTCCCTAAGGGTTCATTGCTCAACATTGAGCGGTGGCAATCCCCTTCTACACCATAAATAGCTTTTAAGACTCATTCGTTGCGAATGAGTCATTCGAATCCTGCGCGTCGCTGTCAGAGGAGGAATGGTTGGATTCAGAATAGAATGATGCAACGTCGCTCTCATCATCGTTGTCATCATCTTCATTCTTATCCCAATTTTCTGCGACTCGTTGTAGGTGATTGACATCCGAGTTGTCGGAGTCGGGATAGTTAGGATGTTCGTCCTCGAATGAGGATCCGTCGTCGAGGGCGTTAAACTCCTCCGAGTGTGCAGGTGCCATACATTCGGAAGAGGGGACGGTGATGATCTCGGTGATGCATGGGGTATCCGGTTCATGGTATTGGATTGGGAGGTTCAAAGGTATTTTATCATCCCTCCCCACCGTTTTTCCCTTGTCGTTAACTGTCCACCAGACCTTTTGAATCCGGGTTTCATAATCATTGACCAGTTCTTCCGCATTTGCCATGTTTGAACGTTTGACCCACAAATTCTCCTCCATTGGGTATCCTTTCCATTTTACCAAGTACTCGGTAATGGTTCGGCAGGTTTGTCCTTGACCAACGACCCGGTCCCTTTCTCCGACAATCTCTTTGATTTCGTACTCTTCTTCATCATCGATGAGTTCAGGAGGCGGTCTCTCGGGATGTGGTTGGTTTGGGAATTCAGGGGCATGGTATGGAGTGAGCAGGGATTCGTTGAATCGGTTATGAATTCGCCATTTTGTGGGAAGTTTCAATTCGTAGGCCGATGCTCCTTTCTTTGCTATTATGGTGAACAGTCCCACCTGTCTATCCCCCAGCTTCTTGGTCGGACGAGGAAGGTTTAAGTTGGTGGAATCCAGCCAAACCTTATCGCCGGCCTGATACTCCAACGCTTTTCCCTTGTGCTTGTCGTAGGCCTTCTTCATTGATTCAGCTGCACGCTCCAGGGATTCTCTTGCCTTCTCTTGCATCTCCTGAATTCCCTCGACCAATTTGGACGTGGCTGGTACGGCATCTTGACGCTGGGTGGTTTTAATGACTTGTCCGTCACATCCGAAGACTACCTTGTATGGAGAGAAACCCGTCATGGAGTGTTTTCGATTATTGTGAGTGAATGCGGCGAGTGGTAACCACTCGCTCCAATCGTCTTGGCGGTAGTTGACAAACATTTTGAGGTATTTTTCGATCTCCTGGTTGACCCTCTCCGTCTGTCCATCCGTTTGAGGGTGATAGGCTGTTGAGGGGTTTCCTGCAACCTGAATGAGGGCGTAGAACTCTTTCATGAACTTGGATACGAAAATGGCTCCTCTGTCAGAGATGATCTTTTTTGGCATCATGCCATATGGTACGTAGATGTAGTCTCGTAGGATCTTAGCGAAGCCTAGAGACGATAGCTCCTCGGTGCATGCAATAGGAATGATGGTTTTAGAAAATCTGTCGACCAGGACAAGGATGGAGTTATTCCCCTTCGAGTCGGGAAGCTTGGTGATCATGTCGACCGAGATATGTGTCCACAGTCAGTCTGGGATCTCATTCGGGTGGAGGGGCGCCTTCTTGGGACGATGATCCGCCTTAGTCCGCTGACAAACTTCGCACCCCCTTACATAGGCTTCCACCTCCGAGCGCATTCGAGGCCACCAATAGTCTCGCAAAATGAGCTCTTTCGTCTTCTCTATCCCTGGATGTCCTGTGGTGGCGTGGTCATGTCGCAGGGCTATAATCTCGCCCCGTAGTTGCCTGTCTCTGGGTACGTAAATGCGACCGTCGTACCACAGTAGTCCTTGATCTCGTGAGACCCCCTTTTCATGGTTAAGGGAGTCGGAGATGCCCCGGTCCCACTTATGCGGGTCGTGCGTGGCTAGTTTGATTCTTTCGTGCAGCTCCTCCGTGGTAGGCATGGTAAGAGCTCGAAAGTGAGCAGGTTTTAAGACCGTCATGTCTTGGTTGTCGCTCTTCCCCTGGTCGTGATCCGCTCTTCTGGATAGCAAGTCGGCTTTATGATTTTGAGCTCCTGGCTTGTGGTGTAAGGTGAACTGGTACTCGGCCAGTTCGGTTACCCACCGAGCTTGTCGTCGGTTAAGCTTCTGAGGTTTTCGAAAGTACTGAAGATTGGAATGATCTGTCCAGATCTCGAAGTCTTCCTGCGCGCCCATGAGGTATTGTCGCCATTCCTCTAACACAATCATGATGGCAAGGAGCTCCTTGTCGTAGATCTCATAATTGCATTCTGTAACCGATAGCACCTTGGAGAGAAAGGCTACCGGTCACCACTTCTCCTCTTGCCACTGGGACAGTACTGCCCCTATCGCTCCTTCACTGGAGTCCGCTTCCACTCGGAATTTCCCTTCGTCTAGCGGGATGGTCAGAACCACATCCTCGCGGAACAACTCTTTAATCTTTTCAAACGCTGCTCGTTGGGCCTCTCCTCATTTCCATTCCGCCTTCCCGGTGAGGACAGTAAGGGGTTTGACATGCTTGCTGTAGTCACGAATGAATTGTCGGTAAAAGTTGCAAAAGCCCAAAAAGGACTGGAGTTCTTGTTTCTTTGACGGAGTAGGCCAGTCCAAAAGGCTGGCGATTTTCATGGGGTCCATACGGATCCTTCCTTCGCTGATGAGTACTCCTAGGTACTCTGTCTCTTCCACTTCGAACTCGCACTTCTCCGCCTTGAGGAATAACTTGTTTTCGCAGAGGATCCGGAGTACTTCGTGTACTATGCGTCTGTGATCCTCCTTGTTCTTTGATGCAATAAGTATGTCGTCAAGGTAGACCGATACCTCCCCTGCGGTGATAAGGTCTTTGAAGATGTCGTTCATCATCCACTGGAAAGTGGCTGGGGAGTTTGTGAGGCCGAAGAACATTACCAGTGGCTCGTAGAGACCGCGGTTGGTTCAGAAAGCGGCCTTCCATTCATCCCCCTGTTTTATCCTAACGTTGTTGTACCCCCATCGTACGTCCAACTTGGTGAAGTATTTGGCCTTCTTCAACCGGTCCATAAGCTCTCTGATGAGGGGTAACGGGTACTGATTCTTGATGGTCATTTCGTTGAGCTTGCGGTAATCTTGGACCGGGCGAAGTTGGCCATCCTTTTTCTTCACGAAGAAAAACGGGGACGCCATCGGAGATTTTGAGGCTTGGATGCGTCCCGTGGACAAGTTTTCGTCCAAGAACTTATCCAGCTCCTCCTGTTCCGTGCGGTTAAGCGGGTAGACCTTACAGTCCAGGTTGGCGTTGGCGTTAGGGATTAACTCGATCGCGTGGTCCCAGGGTTTCTGCAGGGGTAATTCATCGAAGTTCTCCTTGGCGAAGACATCCTCAAAGTCCCTGTACTCGTCCGGTACTATCTCTTCAAAGGACTTCACTTCTTTCTGAGCATTGGCCCGGGCGGCCAGTTTGTTGGCTTTAGTGCCCATGGCTCGCACATGGAACGCTTCCTCGAAGTCAATTACTAAGATCATGTCCCCTTCTTTGTACTCGTCCCATCTGGATGAAGGGTCTGTATCCAGGAGGGAGAAAGGAACTTTGCGGCAAGCGCAGCGAGCCAACGTGACTGCTCCGGTGTTCCAGTCAATCAGCGGGTTATGCCTCTGTAGCCAATTGTGCCCGAGGAATAGGGGGGTGGTGCCTAGATCCACCATGGCTAATTCGATCCGTTCCACGTGGTCTCCGATGCGTAGCCGTACTTCGGCATATTCAGTGATGTCACCCCCCTTGTTTCGGGTGCCGTCAGCATTGTATACCGGAATGGGTCGGGCCACCTTTTTGAGGTTAAGGGCGTGGCTTTGGGCCCAGGCGCGGTCTATGGAGCTGCCGGTGGCCCCGCTGTCTACGAGCGCTTTTAGGGAGTGCATTTCGCGAGTATCTAGGGTTTCCAGCTGCACAGTAATTGATACATTCCGCCCCTTCCTTCCTCGTGTGTACATAGGTGGCTTGGTAAGTTCCTCCATCCATTCCCACTTATCCCTGGCTTCTGCGGCAGTCTCGGGCTGCTCCTTGAGCGCCTCCCATAACTCGACCATCACTTCCCCCGTACGACGGGGGTGTACCCATCGATTGAGGGTGGCCAAGGTGGCCAATTCGTTGGTGGCGAGTCGTAGCGCCCTTCGGGTCCAGTGCCTTCCGAAGGGCTCGTAGTACGTGTCCAGGACGGGCTTTCGGACCTCATCCCTTGGTCCAGACTCAGGGGTCACAGGAGACTTCCCCTTTGGTCCGATGGTCAGAATGTCGGACCGTAAGTGGGCTTCTTCATCTTCTACTTCTTCCAACGAAACTTGGGGTTTCTTGACTCGAGGTGGCAGTTGGTCACCGGGCCGGTCATTAAGGCCCCTCGGCGGCACTTGGTCACCTTCCGACGAGTTGGTGGAGGAGGGCTCGCTGCCCTGCGTTCGGCCCTGGCCAAGGGCGCTTGTGTGTGGCGTTGTAACCTCCACTGAAATCCTGTACTTATCCTCAT